TAAGGCACAGACTTTCTGAAAAGTAACTTCACACTTACACTGACAGTATTTGAACCTTCAGACCTTTCACCTCAGAAATCCACTCCTGGGAACTTACAAAGGAAATGAGAGCTAGGCAAAACATTTACACACAAGGACATCCACTCCAGCATTACTTACGGGAGCCAGAAATGGGAAATCTGCACGTTCAACAACACAGCAGAACTAACAACCCACCCGGGGGGAGGGGGTTGTCTGCAGCTACTAAAATATTAAGTTTTTAATAAGAAGTAACAACACTTATGGAGAATTCATATTACGGTTTCAATTATAGTAAAAAAAGAAAAGCATGTCCGAGGAATAGTCAGTTTTCTTTTCTCTTTTATGTTTTCCTCCCAATTATCACATAATCATCACAACAACAAAACAACAAGAGGATAAGATGTGAAAGAAAAAGACTCAGGATCCCTTAAGGATGACAAAGCCGGGCCTCTGCTGACCGCCTGCCACTCCCCACGTACAGCAGCTAAATCTCTCACACCACCAACTGAGAAAGGAAGAAAAAGACAAGGGGCCTCACAGGCCCCCGGGGAGCTAAATCTCTCACACCACCAACTGAGAAAGGAAGAAAAAGACAAGGGGCCTCACAGGCCCCAGGGGTAGGCTCTCTGACCCGGGAGCAGACAGTCCCCAGATCAGAGCCAGCCCCACTATAGCACAGTGGTCCAGCCTACTCTGCGTGGCCCCAGGTTTTACAAGTGAGGGGCCTAGAAGGACAGAAAGCCCTGGTCTTGCAAGTCTTTGGTGCTTTAAAGAAAGCATGAGTTACATAGCTAATTTCACAAGCCAGAGCACCATTTAACATAATTTTCAGTAAGCTATTTGAAAGTTTGCCTTCTTGTGCATTTGCCTAAAAAGAAGATGTGTTTTGTTTTGGCTATGAATGTAAATCTAATTCTGAACATCTTGACCTCATAGTGCCCTCATCTCCATGCAAGGCTTCCCTAGGCGATTCAGGCCATGGTGACACTCCAACCAGATCCCTTAGGTGGCTGGGCCCATTCATGGGTTCCAGTCACGTGCTCTAGGTGACATCTGCCCCAGCGTAGGCAAATGCGGGCTTTGTCCCTTGATCACATGTAAGAGAGTAATTGTGAAGGCAAGTTGGAAATTGTTGAGTGCCGCAGAAAGAATTGTTACAAAAATGCCCCAATCTCAAGTCTGCCCAACCTGGCTGGGCAGGTTGCACTGCACTCAAGGCTGACTCGAATCTCATTCACTAGAGGACTCATGGAGGGGCACAGCTCCTGGAGAGGGTGTGGGGCCAGGAAGAGAACATTCTAGTTGGTGCTAACATGTGGGCAGTACCCACTCAGCATCCGAACAGTGCCAACATGCTGTGGACATGTCAGGATGGCCAAGGGCATCTAAAGCAACAGGGTGCTGCCAGGGAAGGCTTCCTGGAGGAAGGGGCAGCAGAGCTGAGGCTGAGGGGAGAGGAGGAGCCAGCAGAGGAGTGGGAGGAGCGGACAGCATGCTGGGGCAGAAGGTAGCAAAGGCTCAGCTGAGAGCACTGGCAGATTTCTGGAACACAGAACTCAGGATAGCGAAGGGTATGTGACCAGAAAAGAGGCTGGGGACTGGGAGGGTACAGGCCATTGATTCTAGGGCTCCTACACAGCAATATCACAGATGCTGGAGGCCCACAAGGGGCTCCCGGAAGCCATACTGGGGACCCAAATGCCCCTGGTGGCTCCAAATGAAGGCTACACAATTTCAGGAACATTTCCAGGGCCACCCAGGCCAGATCCGTGTCTCCTCTTCTGTCCCCTTTAGGCAGATGGGGAGAGGAAGGAGAGACATTCCGGCTGTTAGGAGCGCCATCCTGTTCTATGAAGTAACATGGAGCATGGGGTGCAGAGACACTAACCGAAGTGGCCCTTGGCAACAGCTGCCGGCCACCCGCCTGCTGCCTGTGGGCAGCCTCACTACTCCAAGGTCAGTCCTTCCTGGGGGCCTTTCAAGCACACTGGCTGATGCTAGCAGGTGTGACAGCCCCCTCAATGGACACAGTCCATAATAGGGACCTACTGATGCTTTGCTCATGCACCTTTTTCACTCTTTCAACTTAGGAAGTACTAACCACTGCTAGAAGCTGCAAACTGTATTCCAAGAAGGTACATCTCCTCATCTTGAAGTTTGTCACCTCAACACCTGCCCAGCTTAGAACCCCCAAAGCTGATGCCGTGTGATAGGGAGGTTCTGGAGCTGTGGAAACCCCAATCCACTGAGTCACAAGGCCTGCCTCTCCTAGGCCCCCAGTACTGCAGACACTAGCACCAGGAGCTGGGAGAGGCTTGGTGGAGTTTCTAGAAGCACTCCTTATGGCAGGGAAGCATTCATTCACACCCTGCAACACGCTTGGCCTGGGGGACCAGGGAGGAAGGAAAAGTCCTCACCCTAAGCCCAGACCCCCAGGGCCCTGTCAGGGTGGCTCTTGGAGCCAGGCCCATCCCCTCTGCAGTTACCCAGCCAGGTGGTCACTCCAGCACCCATAGGGCCATGGGGGAGGGTAAGCCCTGGTCTGCTGGAAGGAGAGTGAGGGTAACATCTAGAGCTCCCGAAACCAGGCATTCCATGGATCTGGCCACTGACAATATTTGTCCAGAGAGGTGCTGGGTCTCTGGGGCAGGTGGGAGAACTGCATCCTGACCTTCAAAGCACCCTGGTTCAGCCCCAGACTAGGGGAACACTCAGCAGGTGAACCTCAGTCCAATAGGCTTATAAACACACAAAACCAATATTACCCAGGTCTCTCAGGGAAGCTCATTAAAAAAGCAATCTACCTAGCGCCTGGAACAGAAATGAAGGGGGCGGGGGAGAACAGCACAGAAGATGAAGCTCTGTCACCTGCCTCATGGCACAGCGCACTTCCAAAGTGGACAGGAGAGGGAGGGCCTCCTGAGGACCCTGGAAACCCCTCCTCCACCTGGCCTGCATGCTGCTGAGCTCAGCAACTTCCAGGCAGAGGGGCTGGCAGCCCACCATAGCAAGTGGCATCCGGCTGACTAGGCACGGCATTTTCTATTCTTGCTACACACACCCACCCGGAGGAGGGGGTGCTGGGCCTCCCTCGTGCAGCACCTGGGGGCTCTGTCTGCTCCACTTGGTCTTCGGGCTCTTGTCTGCAAGGGTGGCTGGGTCTCCTTCTCTGGTGGACAAACGCCAGAGAAGGGAGATCAGGGGGCCCTTCATCCTGGTGACCCAAAGGGAAACAGCCTCAGGAGACAGGCTGCAGAGAGTGTCCTGGTCTTGGCAGCCCCCAAAACAAATTCTGCACACTGTCCCCTCTGGGAGTCTCCCACGCTAATTCCCTCTGGCAGACAGGATGGTTTTCTACCCCCATCCCCACTACCGCAGGCAGGGAGGTGCCCACCCGGGCCTGTTTGGGTTGGTCCGTGCCCAGGTCTGGGGGACTACAGTCCTGGTAGGCCAGCAGCTGCAAACTCCAGACCTAGCTCAGTCTAGCATTGAGTGGCTGGCCACAGGGGCAAAGGCGTGGGAGGTGGGTGCTACACCAGGAAAGCGCACCCATGCAAAGCAGACCAAATGCTGAACAGGAAGCAAGGCTTTAAGGGCTTTGGGCCTTAAGAGACCTGGAACATCACCTCGCAGGCTCGAGCTGCCATCTGGGGGCAGGGGGTGGGGCAGCCAAGGGAAAGTAAGATGACCTCTGTCCCCAGCTCTAGGGCCCTAATTTCCTGACAGGGAAAGACCACAGGAGGACTGAAGAACTGAGCAGGAGAGCAATGCCATGGACCACGGTTCACCGTGGACTGGCCAGATCCTCAACCTTTATCCCCCAAACACATCAGAGACCCTGCCCTCTCTTGACCCAGAAGAGTGCCAACAAACACAGCTACACAGCTCACATAAACTCCCCCACCCCCAGCTTGTCTGTAAGTGCAGTCCTAAGACAAATATAGAATATAAACAAGGGACAAGCAAGAAGACCTCACTCCTGGCCCTTCCCAGCCCAGATATCATGGGGAGAAGGCCCCCAGGGCACCAATATGAACAGGAGAAAAGAATCCGATTTTTAAGCACTGGAAACCCAGCCTGCCCTCTGAGGTTGTGGTTACAAAGTGCCTCCCAGGAGAGCTGCCCCCCACACAGGTCAGCCCTATGCCTCCAACCTCCACAGAAATGGGGGGCCCCCAAGGAAAGTGTCTGGTTGAATAGGTACCCCTGACCAACTCAGCTCCCCCAATCTAGCCGTTGGTCTGCTTTTGCTCCTTTTTTGGAGGGAGCTTACAACTGGTTCTGGCCCAACTGGTGAGGGCAGGCATCATTGCCTCCTCCCCGCCCCCAGCCCCAGGTCACACTCAGGCCTTTGTTCTACCTGCACACACCGGCAGGCAGAGCCCACCCCCCTCCCTGGCAGCTCCTCCCCAGCCCTCTCCAGGCAGGCTGGGGGGGCTGGGGGCCTCACAGGTGCAGGGGGAGAGGCACTTCACTTCTCTCATTTACGCTTCGGGTGTGTGAGCGGCCAAGGCAAGCGAACACTCAAGGTGGGCTACACACGCAAAAGAACCCACTTTCCCGCCCGAAGACACCAGGCTAGCCCGGACCCACAGCTGGGGCGGGCCAGATTTTACACTGGCCCGCGACGCAAGGCAAGTCACGGCGGCCCCAGGACAGTGGGCTGTGACCCGAGGAAAGCCCAGGCACTGCGCAGCCTGGAGGGCGGGGGTAGTGAAGGGGGAAAAGTAGAAAGGCGAGGAGAAGAAGGTGAGAATAGAGGGCAGGGTGACAACGGGCCGCAGCAGAGGAACTGGGAGCTCCGGGCGCCCAGCAGGTTGGGAGGGAGTCCACAGCGGCTGCGGCGAGTGGGGGCCCCAAGAGTACAGGAGAGGAGAGCAGGAAGGGCAAGGAGGGCAGAGCGGGCCCAGGGGAGCACGGCGGGGGCACGGGCTGGGGCAGCAGCCGCTAGCTGGGACCCCGTCGCTCCGGGAGCTCACCTGGGCGTGCGCAACGCGGCGGGGTCGCGACGGTCCAGCACGCCGGGCACGCAGTTGGTGAGCTCGGTCCAGTCGGCGTGCAGCCCGCAGCTCCAGCCCGTAGAGAAGCGGGAGAAGAGCCAGGTCTCGCGGCGGTTGGGCCGGTAGCAGGTGCACTTCTTCTGGCCGGGCCGGCAGTCGCAGGGCACCTCGAGGCGCACGTTCTGCACGAGGTGGCGGCCGAAGGTGGTGCCACCGGTCTTCTGGATGTGCAGGAAAACGATCACATCGTCGCCCTTCATGTCGAACCGCAGCGAGCGCTCCAGCTCGCGCACAGGGAAGTAGTACTTCTTCTCGTAGTGCGGGTCGGGCGTGGGGAAGAGGTCCAGGTCGTCGGGCGGCGCGCGGCCGCCGGGCGCGCCCAGGCTCAGCCCCGGGCCCGCGTACTGGTACAGGATGAGCATGAAGCACGCTGAGCCCGCCACCACCAGCACGAACTTGCTGGCGCGCTCAACCATGGTCCTGCCGCCGGCGCGCCGCCGCCGCATGTGTCACCATCGCCGGCGGCCCGGGCGCGGGGCGCGGGGCCTGGGAGGGCGGGGGGCGCGGGCGCAGCTGCCTCCGCCGCCGCCGCTGCCCGCGCTCCGGCCCGGCCCGGCTACTCGGCGCCCAGGCCGCCCGCAGCGGCGCGGGCCCCGGCCCTGCGCGGCGCCATGGCTGCTCTCCGCCCGGCCCCGGCTCCGGCTCCCCGGGCCCGACCCCGGGCTCGGTTCCGGCTCCGCTCCGGCCCCGGCCCCGGCCCGCGCCCCCTGCGGCCCGGTGCCGGCCACTCCACTCCGCGCCGCGCCGAGAACGCTCTGCGCCGCCCCGCGCGCCGCCGCGTCTCCGCAGTCCGCCGCCGCCCCGCCCCGGCCCGCCCCCGGCCCGCCCCCGTGGCGCCTCTTGCCGTCGCCGCCCGCGCCGATCCTCGGCTCCGCCCCCTGGAGCTCGCTGGGCCTCGGGCGGGTGCTGGGCGCCAGGACCCGGGTCCCTGGCCGCGGCCAGAGCGCTCCGAGGCGGGCCGCCGCCGGCTGGGAACTGGTCCTGTCCGAGAATCGGGGCGGGGAGCGACTGGGGAATTGGGGAACAGGGGTGCCGGCGGCCCTTCTGGGCTAGAGCGGGGAGCGCAGCAACCAGCACCTCTGGCGCCTGGGTCCCCCTCCCCCCCAAGTCTCGGCTGCTGGTGGAATATCCCCTTCCGCGCTTCTCCGGAGGAAAGCTACTGACCTTGCACGCTGGGCGCTCTGAAGTTCCAAATGCGAAAGGAGCGGGCTGCGATTGGTGGGACCTGGGGGCGGTGGGGCCCGGGCGAGGGGAAGAGAAGGGAGGGCTGGGGGCGCTGAGCCCGGGGCGCGCGGCCGCGATGGGTATGCCTCTGCCCCACGGCTTTGGGACAAGGACCTGGAGCTCCCCTTGGAAGATATACTGAGGTGTCCGCAGAGGCCTTGGGCCCAGCTTTACGCAGTCCACCTTCTTCTTTGAAAGGAGCCAGTGTGCATTTTTTTCCCCATGTTTATTATAACCCCAATGAAAAAGTTATAAAGAGTTGAGCCAGTATTTAAAATTATGAAAGTCCACAAAAAATTTCCAACTTCGAGCTTTGGTAGGTCGGTCAGAGGGTCTGGCAGCCCTGGGCCTGCCCTCTTTTCGGTGGCGCAGTCGTGGGTGCTTCGGGCTTTCCTGCCCTGTCGCCCACTGCCTGCTTACGCCTTCCAGCTTGGGCCAGGTGCCGGCTGCTCAGCAGAAGGGCCCCCACCTGGCCCTTGCGGAAACCCCAAAGGGTAGGCCACGCCCCAAACGCAGGGCCCTGGCCCTTGACTGTGTTCGGAGGCTGTGGCACCTCCATGGAGAGGTGAAGTGACCTGATAGAATAGCACCTGGGATGGGTTCAAATGCTCCCATCAGCCCCTGCCGGGGGCTCCCCTGGTTTCCTTCTGTGGGGGTCCTGAGAGCATGCCCGGGTGGGGGATGGGAGGAGAGGGGTGATAAGGGCTTAGTGTCAATTATACCTCAATAAACTTTTAAAAAAATAAATCACACTAGAAGCCCTCTTGGAAGCAAACCCAGAGAACTGGAAACATAACCACCAACACCCCAAAACCTGAGTAAGAGGGGAGCATTTAGTTTTCAAGAGGAGCTGAAGGAACATCAGCTCTGGACAGACCCGTGCAGCACCCTGAACACAATGCAGAGTGACCTAGAGCTGCTGGGGGTGAGTTGGGGAGTCCGGATGTGACCCAGAGGCGCAAAGCGCCTGCCCACACTGAAGCTGCTTTAACTGACCCTGGCCCAGGGAGGCCACAGGGGGCATTTTGACCCGACCTTCCAGTAATGATTCATTTTTGCCAGGAGTGAGGGCTGGCACAGTGGTATGCCTGGAGGTACCTGCCTCTGCCTGCAGTTACTTGACCCCCCCTTTTTTTTTTTTTGCTGAGGCCTGAGGAGTCTCCCTTCATGGGCCTAAAGGCAGCAGCTCAGCCATGGAGGGCAGAACCGCCCTGGGTCCAACCACTAGGCTGCCTTAACCCAGGTGACAATCCTCTACCAAGTAGTAAATCATAATTGAGGCTGCTTTTTATCCACAACTACTGGGTACTAGGCTCTGTAGGTGTGTCATTTCCAATCCCATTGGCAAGCATGTGGAGTAGACTGTAATACCCATTTCACAGAATAGAAAACTGAGATTCAGAAGGGCGAACAGAGGGTCACATGGCCGACTGGTGGTCTCCAATCTCCAGGCGCTACTTTTGCTTGACCCACAACAGCAGGGTGGATAAAAGTTGAGCAAAAGCCTTCCCCAAGGGCACCTTCATCACTTGAGGCCTGCAATTCTGGGCCCAGCAGGGAGGCCACAGGGTGGGCCAAGCTCCTCTCCCTCTTATGATAGTAAAAATTCTGATCCTGGGCTGCCTGGCTTCAGAGTCCAGCCCTCAGTCACCCCTGTACTCATCTCAGCAACCCCAGACCAGATGCCAAGGCTAAATGGGGGCAGTGAGAGGGTCTAGAGGAGCCACTCCTCAGCTCCCAATGAGTCTCTGCTGCCAGATAGGGATGTGGGTGCAGTGTTCAAGAGAGAGCTGAAGTTTTATTGAAAGGCCACTGAACCCATCTGTGCCTGGCCTAGGGTCTCATCTTGGGACAATCTCAGTGTCCCAATGGGGAAACTGAGGCCCAGGTGCTTCCCCCAGGAAGGCTGTTTAATCCAGCTTTGTACTTGCCAGCAGAGCTGATAGGGAACCCCCTATTTAGGCAGGAAACCTTTTATTCCTAGAATTCTCTTAGGAAGAAGAAAATTTTCCTAGTTGCCTCCCAGGATTTTACTCAGTTTTCCCCTTTAAGTGCTGCACTTGCACTGTGAGACCCCAAGGCTGTAGGTGATTTTCTCATATCTCCAAGTCAAGTCAGATGAGCCACTGATTCTAAAAGTCAGCCGACATTTGGGAACAGGATGGAATGCAGACTCTGGCTAACCCTTGCAGGCTGGGGGCTTCCTCAACCTAGTATGTGTGTTGAGCTCTCCCTGTCATCCCTGACAAATTGGCAGAAACACACACATTAAAAGGCGCTTGTGGATTTCAAGTGAGGTCCCAGCACAGCGAGTGCCTGGCACTCAGTAGGTCCTCTTCCCTTGCTGTTTGCGTTCTCTCAGTGTTTGGCCGGCGGGTAAGCCAAAGGTTTCCCACAGTCCTAAGATTGCATGTGAGTATAGGAAGGCTAATTGTTTGCTGGAGGCAGCGCCCAGCCCTGAGTATTTTCAGAGTTCAGGGAAAAGCAATTGCAGCTCTTCTGCTGTGACTATCTTTGTTCTCTGAATATCCACTTCATAAATTCTTTAATGTATGATCTCTGACTTAATGTTGAAGAAAAGAAAAGAACACGGCTAGTGGTAGGATGCGATGATCAAATAAAAACAAGTCATTGTACTTCTGCTCCGGGAAAGTGCAAGCCGCGATACGATTTCGGCTTTGGTAATGAAATGGAATTTCTTTCGAATCTAAAATAGCCTCAGAACCCAAACGCAAGCTTTCCCTCCCTACGCGCCACGCGTCCTCAGAATCTGAGAACCAGGAGATCAACCCGCGACGCTCCTCCCTCCCGGGCGTGCAGTCCCGTGGAAGGGCGCGCGGGGGCAGCACAGCGGCCGCGGGCCGGCAGGGCGCCCAGCAGTTGACATTGCAAGACTGGGGGATTTTCCACCCTTGATTCCCTCGTTCTCTTTCGTCCGGTCGCCCATTGTTGTTTCCGAAGAGGTGGAGGAGGGCAGCCGCGCCTGTCCTCAGAGTCTCCTCCGGGGATGGCTCCGATTCCCACGGCGGGGCGGAGAGAGGGGTTTTGTTTAGGGACAAACTTTTAAAGGGGACTTCGGATCGCGGCGGACGGCGTTGCCTGCTATTAGACCCGCCCGAGGGGCCGGCCGTGGGGCCGCAAGCGGCCTGCGCTGACTCCAGTAGCTGGCCCAGGAGGACCTGGGGACGCGGGGCGCCAGGGCCCTGAGACAGGCGACTGGTGGCCACTCTGGTTTAACCTGGGCGCCCTCCTCTGTGGAGGCCCATTTTTCCTCAGCTGTCCCTTGCCCCTTGGTGCCTCCTGTCTTCCCCCCCCCCCCACTCTGTACCCGCTGCCCCGGCCTCCTGGAGAGTCCTACCCACCTGTCTAAGGTCTCCTCCTGCAGGAAGCCCCCCCTTCCTCACAGCAGACCTGCCCCCGTGACCAGGTCCCTGTCCTCCTGTAGTACCACTGGCTAGCATCACCCGCTCTGCGAGGCACCCTGTTCCTCCCACCCCAGCCCTACACAGAGACCTGCCCATGTCTTCCAGACATGTCTTCCATGTCTGTCCCCATCTCCCCCTGAACTTCAGAAGGGCCTGGGCAGGCCAGGCATTGTGGAGGGGGGCGCCCTAGAGCAGCTTGTCTCTAATTCTCTGTGCCTGTCCTGAGCCCGGTGGCCCAGTTTGCCAGTGGGCAGTGGTGGGAGGGCAGAACACAGCCAGCCCTGAGCAGGATCCTGCAGGAGCCTTCTTTGCAGCTCCTCCTCATTTTGCGTGCTCTTCTGCTGGATTTGAAGGCCTCCTTAAACCCTTCTGGGAAGAAGGTGGGAGTATCAATAGATTAAGGAGAAGCTGAGCAATTTAGATGGACACAACATAGCCCTGATCTTCTACCTGCTCCCAAGAGCAGAGGTTTGTGACCTAGCTGTGGCCCTTCCACAGCCCCTGCCCTGCCCAGACTGTCTACCCTGGCCGACCACTCACACGAGGCCTCCCGTGTCAGGAGGACTGATAGTGGGTGAGTGGGTGGCGCGGGGGTCTGCTTGGCCCGTTGCCTGGTGTGGACTCTTTGTCTAGCAGTGGAGGCCCTGTTCTGGGTCTCCCTCCCCACCTGGATCACCAAGGGAGCAGGGAAGGCCCCCTTCCTCCTTGGGTGCATTCCTGCTATTGGGGTTATTGAGAGGGCAGTGCCTGAACCAGGCAGGGGCAGGTTCTGCCAGCTCAGTGAGGTGTGCATGGACATAATGTTAT